GTCTGGTGCGTACGAGACGTTCGGCCCGCGCGGCCCGCGGCTTGGCGGCTTCCCCCTTCCGGCGGCGGCGCGTCCCGCCATCGCCCCCATCGCCCTTGTCCTCCCCCTCCCACCTGGCGGCGTTGGCGGCGGGGAGTTTGAAACAGTCGCGCGGGACAGGCCCAAGGCATGGCGAGGTTCGACTCGGGGATAAGAAGAGAAACAGGCCGTTTGTGAGGAAGCCATTTTTAATTATAGCAGTTATACAGCAGGTACAAAGCTGGTAAAATACTCGAAAGACCCTCACGGTCTTGTCCTGATACAAACTCTCTGCCAAAAAAAGCTTAAAAATTCAATCCTACTTGATTACAAGATGTGTACCAAATCCCAGGGTATTTTGCAAATTAATGATTATATCTATGAAGCTTTGGCATTTTTTTTTTTTCATTTTTTCAAAGCTGTGCATTAAACATAGGGGATCTTCAGGGATGGCAAGGCAAATGCTGAACGAATTTCAGTCACTAGCGACTATGAGGAAGAATTAACAGAGTACAATAATCAATATAAATGATAAGGCTTTACAAAACAACAACAATTTTCTTAGAAACTAAAGCTAATATGTATATAGAACATATATCTTTCAAACATGACAAAATTTTGATTTCACTTGTAAAATAATATCCATTTTTAAAAATAACTGAGCATGATACACAGTAAATACGGATTGAAAAAATCTACATTAAAAGTTGATGAAATCGGATGATGATTCATTTTCCTCCTGCAAATACCCCATGCAATCAAACTTCACAAGTTTGAGGTATTAACAAAACTGTAATCGTGTAACATACTGGATTAAAAATTAGTAATACATAAAAGATACCAGTCTCACTTAGTGAAAATGACAGTTAACAGCTAAAACAAGTTATACTTGAACTGCTGATTTGTCCTCACTCAACACCATCAAAACAAGATAATGATACTTATATAAAACAGGCGAACAGCATGTAAATAAAGTGATGATTTAGATCAATTTGCACATGTTTCACAAATACACACCATCCTCACAATCTACAACTCATGAGATGTCAATTATAGTACTTTAAAAGAAAACAGTCCTTTTTGGTCAAGTGTTGAACCTAAAAGTATTTGTTTTTAACACAAGCAATAAAATTGTTTAAATGTACATGTCCTTGTGACTCAAGTTTTTTTTAGATACTCCTGTAACAGATAAGCAATAGAATTTGCCAATGATAAACTACTTTTAAAATGTTTTAAAAGATGAAAACTTTGCATACAACACCAATATGGGTGGAGTACAAGGGTGTGAAAAGTTATATACACATATGTACATAGATCATCAACTAACAAATACCACATACCAGTCATTGGTTTAAAAATATAGTATTCTTAAAAGGTACGATTTAAATACATATTAAATGCTTCCAACAAATATACTTTGCAAAAACACATACCTACATATAATATAGTTAGTAAAAGGTGCTACTCTGAGTTATATCGCAGCACTGTGCAGAACATGAATAGACAATGTGAATACACAACAAAGCATTATCATTAACTATAGAACCATTCATTCATAACAAAACACATACATTCAACAAAGCAATTCAATTTTTTCTGAAATGCTTGAAAGAATTCAGTACAGTTTAAGATATTAAAATATTTTAAAACCATAACAAATAAAAATTTAAGAACTTGGGTTGAATTTTGAACATTGTGGACCTGATAACCACTCCCAACTTCACTTTAGCTGTTTAAGTGAAGCAATGTTAAAAATCAGACTTGCATTCAAAATTGAGATCCTTGTACACTTCCATGAACAGAGAGTGTAAAGTAAGGTGAGGCTGAAATCCAATTATATTGTTGTACAGTCATTAGATTAGTTGTGATGTGAGATTTAACCAGATTTAACAACTAAAGCTTGGTTTCAGTGATTAAACAAATAGTTATTTTCTTAAAAGCTTTTTTTCTTTTTCTGTCCAAAAATCTTGCAACAAGTTTGGAACAGAGTAGTATCTCTTTTGCGCCGCCTCCAGGCAACACGGTCTGCAATGGTTTCATTGCCATCAGTGCCTCCTGTCTCCCGCCTTGTACTGAACTCCCGCCTTGCATTTACTTTTCCAATGACCTCATTCAGGCAGTGCCTAGTATGCGGTGCAGGTTGAGAGGCTGATGGCGAAACTGTTAGTCATCTAACATATGTGGATTTTTGAGTCCTTCTTAGTGTCCTTCTTTGGGTGCTGAAACACACATGAAGATGGCTGTCAAGGTAGTGAAACAATGTGACAATGAAAAGGTCTTCATATTATTAAATGCAGATTGGATAAAAACACAACCCTACGCATTTTGAGGACTAATTCAGAAATTGAAAGAAAATATGTACAGGAAAAGCAAATTCTTGACAAGCAGGGTAGGGTAGGGTCAATTCACTGATGAATCAACTTCACCAAACAAGCAGCTCTGTCCCATAAACCACCAGTTAGTAAATTCATTTTGCACTTCTATCTACAGGGTGAGGTTTAAGGGGTAAACATAATTAGGACGAACAAAAATTTGATGTTTGAGTTGCAAAACTTTGTCAAATGAACAAAATGGGATAGGAACAAGGATAGAAAAAAAATCATTCAATAGGGTGAAATGTTAAAATATATTTACAACAGAGAGGAATTGGGTGAAAGGGGTAGCGGGAAGTCACAGCATTTCATAAAATCAAACATCCCAAGGAAGTTTGACATCCAAATAAATAGTTCTATGCGACTGACCTTCATGGTACAAAAAGGTAAAGACAAGGAAGAAAACTCTTGCAATTAGAATAAAGCAAAAGTTAATTGTTACATTAAAAAAATTCATATCAAAAATAAGTTACAAATAAAAAAAATCTTTGTATGAAAAATACATACTATTCTAAAAATAAAAATAATTGTATGTACTTTAAGCAAAAACAAAAGTACAAAAGGTGTTTAAAATGTGCGATGTAGTGCTCTTACTACAGTGATACCAAAATCTAAACATTACATAAGAAATGTTCACTATTAAGACATATAAAACTAAAATATTACAAACCACATGAGTCTAGATATTGTATTCCCTAAAAGAAGCATGGATGAATCGATGTAGAGAAACCCACATGAGATCAAAAGGAGACAGCCAATTTACATTTATCTTAGGACTACAAAAACTACACATAAGAAACTTCATTAGATAAGCAGCAGAATGTTTGAAGTTAAAAGGAGACAATAAGGTGCAGACTGCACTATTTAATCCGAATATTTGCCAGGCACTCTGTTAACCACACAATGGCAAGATCAGTTATGTTCCGGGAGTTTTTAAGCTGTATAAGGCAAACAAAATAGAAGCATTAGACTTTGAGGATAAAATTCTTTGTGACTCTTACCAAGTCTATAAAAATCACATATCACCAATTGGACAACACTGGGTGAAGTTCAGTGTCATGATATACACAATATTCTGCTGGTGGACTATATTAGCTGGTCATAACTACAGTAATATGATATGAAATAGAATGCAGGAGTCAGTGCAATGAATAGTTTGTTTTGAATCCTCAAAATCAGACAAAGGGAAGCTACAGTGATAGGAAATAAGATCTACATGCAGGTGATTAAAATGGCATGCAGCAGAGAGGTGATACCTTGCTACAATTTGCTCACAACAGATCCATCATCCAAAACCCACCGCACACTTTCACAAGTTAAGCCTACATTTGCATGTTACTTAGAAAACAGTGAGCCGAACGGTCACTTACTGACGAAGAGCTCCAAACCGTGATAGTTTGTCAGAGCCCAGGAGACCTGACGGAGCCTGATGATTTATGAGAGTAGATGCTGATGATAGAGAACTTGCACAGCGCGATGTGGGAGACGACTGAGATCGCACAGTATGCATGGAGAGAGACTGAGTCACGGCACTCCTATTGGTGTTGAGAGGCCGTGAACTTCCATACAAGGAGTTCAAAGGCAAAGTTCTGACAGAAAGATAAGAAAGCAACTTAGACACCAAACAGGACAGAGATCGCAAGAATGAAAGGAAGACATAAGAAGTACATAAGTACATTAACATCAACAAATCAGGTAAAAAGTTTCTTTAAAAAATAAAAATAAACTTATATCTGACACCATATCACACAGGCGTTTGTAAGAACAGCATGACACAAAAAGACATGATTGATATGAATGTGTTCAAAGGTCTAAATCAATCAAAAATAAAACACACAGATACCAGACCCTTCATGCAATATATTTTCCTAAGCCAGAGTGTTATTTTTCTAAGAAAAATTGAATTTGACATTCTACCTAAATGCCACGTTTCCAAAAAGCAATATAGTAATATAGTCCTCTCAAATTCTCACCTTTTAGTAGTGCTTGTCGCAGCAATTGTTCGGGTTGTACGTTTCACTCCCTCACAAGAGATCCCTAAAGATGATAGTGATTTGGGGGCCTTGATTGGGGACACAGCAGCAAGTTGAGAATTTGACTGAGAAGAGTCATTACGAAATGTTTGACTCATGGCACGAGTGTGTGGTCTACCACTTCCAAACCTATAACAAGTAAATTTTTATTACTTAACTTCAACAAGTTAAAGTTGAACTGACAAAAATAAGACACTTCAAAACTTACAACAGAGAGGGTGTTGCCATGGAGAGTGACCTGCTGTGATTTAACTGACGCTGGGCCTTGATGTGATTCAGCGTGTCACCTTGAGTTATCTACAAAAAAAAATTAAAAATTAAAATTTCCGGCGAAGTTTTTTTTTTCAGCCTTGTAAGCTACGAGCTTGTAATCATTCAGGGTAGTTCTCATTAGATATACTGTTCAGAAAACACTAAATAGATAGACAGATAGATACCTTCAATATGTTATTGGAAACTGGTACTCTAGTGGTGCTAGTTGTAGTATTAAAATCACTGTTTTTGTTCTCGTCAGTCTGGTCATCCAACTTCATAGTATCAACCCTCTTCAGAATACGAAGTACATTGTCAACTTTGTTGTCTTCATTTGCCTTGTTGAGGGATGCACTTCGGTTGTCACAAACTTCTTGGTTTCTGTGTTCAAATGCCCTCTCATTCAGTTCCTTCAATTTCAAACTGTACACAGGATAGGAGGGTAAAGGAGTAGGGCCATGCTCACGTCGGTACAAATCACCCTGTGTCCACATTTTAGACTGTTTCCTGAGTAAAAAATTTGTCAAAATAAGATTGTAATTGGAGCAATGAATATGATGGACTCAGTGACAATTCATCTCACAATAGTATGGAATTACTTACTCTTCTAACCACTGTTGCTGGTGACCTATTATAGAACCTGGTCTACACAATCTAATCCATGCAATAGTCTCTCTCGCACTTAATCCGTAGTGTTTCATAATATAGCATCCAATGAGAGATCCAGTTCGCCCAAGTCCAGCTGTAAAGATACAATCAATAAGTCAGATACAAAGAAAGATCTGTTTTGGAATTATGAACTATTAGCTCCACTTTTACACTTTTCTTGTTTGCCTGTGCTGGGAAGGTGCTGGGAAGGGTGGTGAAGTGAAGGGGAGAGCTCCTAATATACATCCATCATAAACATGTCAAACACTCACCCTTGCAATGCACAGCAACTGCTCCTTTGGCATTCTCAACAATAGTTAAGAACTGGTTTAAGATTTGATCACTTGGAACACTTCCATCCACAAAGAACAAGTCTTTGTGATCAAATCCAGCATTATTGAAATCATTAGCATCATACAGCTTTTTATTTAGTCTGATAATTGTAGTCACATTGTGTTTTCTAAAGTAAGTGAAGTATGATGATGGTGAATGTATAAAATAACCTGGAGCCAAAAAATGTCTTTAAATACACTGATACATGTATGTCTTAACATATTACATATAATCTTTGTTAACTATAGTTAACTTACCATCTTCAATCTTGCTTTTGGCATGTGGGCCACAAAATGCTATGAATTTTTGTGGCACTATCCAGTTGAAATCTCCATTCTTCACTCTCTGCAAAATGAAACAATGCAGATGCTTGAGTTAATGACATGGAAGTAAACATTGGTAAAGAAATTCCCAGTAAAAGTAAAACAGGAAAATACAGTGAGCTGATTATTTTGTACCAAAACATTAAGTTACCTCGTAATGTTCGTATTCCTTCACATCAAAATCATCAAAATTGAAAAATTGACGCTTGTGTGTTTCATAGACACCACGAAGACAGTCCATAAGAGTGACACTGTACAAAGGAGCACCTAATGAGGCATCCCTGGAAAAGGAAATACAAAATTGCCATGAAACAGTTTATTGATGCACTATAGTAGTTTCAGGAGCAACTGTCAAGACTACTTCACCTGAATGATATGAATGGTGGACTTGACCCACTCGTTAACTCCACATATGCTTCATCAGGTGTTCTTTTCAGATAAATGATCTGTCAAATAAAATTTCATTTATGGGTAGTCTGATCATTTAACCATAAAACAGTTACATGTAAGTTTATAAGAGAACAACTGAACATACTGAGAAAGAACCAATCAGGTATGCTGCATTCACTCTCTTTTGAGGTTCAGTGGACGTGAAATGCACAATTTTCTTCTTTGATGGAATGCTCTATGACACAAAATCACTGGTTACACATTTTCTTGGGTTTCAAAATATAAGTTCTATGGTACTCTCAATTACCTGCAGTTTCTTGTTTAATTTTTGGCAGTATCTATAGAGCATTGCCAAATTGTAAGGACCAAAGTCAGCAAAGAAATTTTCATAAATAAGTTCATCATCAATTGAAAAGTAATGGGTGTTTTCGGTCGATCTGGGTTTGGTACATGACTGTAGTGTTACAAAGTAGAGGCGATCTGGAATTCAACAATATTATTTAAGCATTGAGATATATTCAACTCTTAAACCGTTTGTACACAGTTTTAAACTCTGGGAGGGTACTGCTCTCACCTTTAATAAATTCTGAAGCACAAACTAATACACCACTACTGTCATCCATGTTTGTTGATGATAGTGTCTTTCACAAAGCTATCTTGTTGGCTTCCTGAAATTGAAGAAAATATTAATACATACACCACCATTCTTATAAGTTCTTAATTGACAATTGACATGAACTGGAGCGTCAATTTAAAAATAAACAGTAATGTAAGCAAACTTGAGGGATAGGTTAGATTGAACCTTGTAAATCTTCCATTACATATTATATTAGACATAAAGCTCAAATTACAGATCATACTCTTAACACAGCTTGATGTGGATTATACTTCAGTGAGACATTGTGACAAGAGACAAGAGAAAATTTTAGAGAGGCTCATAATGGCTCATGATAAGCACAGAAGAAAACAGACTAATATATCCTTAGAAATCAGACACAAATACACTTTTCCACAGAAGTGTGTGGGTGTTGTGGGGGCCCATGGGTGGACCACCACAAATCAGAGATTGGCTCAGAAAGCTATGACGGGGGAATGAGCAGCAGTGTAAAGTACTTCAGGAAGAAAAATAATCTTGGGAGCCGGTAGTTAACTTAGATACCCTTACATAAACGTCTGTAACTGTACAGAATGTATCCGTAGGAATTTCTCACGATCGAGTAACAAGGCTTTACTGACCCTCATAATTCCACTACTTATTTACCTCTGCAAAGCGCAATACACACCAAAACAAATCGGAAATAGCTTATTTACATGCAAAAGAAATGAAAAGCCCCAAGTAAACTTTTGCCACTGGCAAATTATCGTTGCAGACCAACAGGAGTACGACGTACATTTGAATGAGATCAAAATAACGGAAAACCCAACGAGGGCAAAAAGTTGACACGTAAATACAGACGGTTTTCTTCACACCAAGAGAATCTAAATGTAGCTAACCTGGACTAAAATACTTCCGCGTTCCTTGGAGATTTTGGAAGCTTTGCAAATCGAAGAAACTTGTTTACAAACACTAACAATTACTTATTTACAAATTTATGTTCCACGGATGCTGCCGCCTACACGGAACGATAAACAAGCCTCAAAAAGCCTACGAAACAAATCGGACTTTTTTTCTTCTCCCTATCCTGTTTAGTACACAGCTATCCAACTTAAAAAGCTAAAGAAGATAAATACGAACTGATCACATTTCGTGATCCGTAGTCTTGTGTATTTTTTATCAACCGAAAACTTAGGATTTTGTTCAATTTTGAGATATTCAGCGTCTGCTTGTTTAAATTTTGAGAAAAAATCGAGAGAACAGGGAACAGTAAGTTGGTAGTTTTGACTGCACCGAAAAAAACCACAACCAATCACGACGCCGTTGTCAGATTTGAAAATCGTAACCACCGAAGCGAAGAGGATTGTTTATATGCGTGGTTTATGGCTCTCAATGAATCAAGTGTTTGTTATTTAGCACTAAACAATGCAAAGGGAAAATGCCCCGGTTGTGCCTTTTCGGGCAACTCGTCTCGTAAGTAACATACCGTACTGGGTTTAGTTTTCTTTTTATAAAATTTTAAAGTAAACTGCAATTATGTATGTCTCTGGTAACACATAGCCACCTGCTGTTAGCTCACAAGTTTAATTTGGAACTCATGACTTTCCGCTGTTGTATCACAATACTCTTCTTCAAGATCTTTTTCCTTCTATAAGTGTCTTTAATGGATCTTGCCCTGCTTCATTCTCACTTCTCAAATTCTAAACAAACACTTTGATTAGTATTCACCCTGTTAACCAAGACAACGATGTTCATCGTGTTTCAGTGGGATGAGGCTATCAAGCTTTTTACCAACGGAATGCCAACAAAACGACATCGTAGCAACATGAAGGTTTATGAAAACTGCTTCACTGGCTCAGAAGCTGTAAAATGGTTTCTTCATGCTCTAGAGATGAACCCTCATTTCAATACTGTTATCACACAAGAGAAAACAATACAGTTGCTTAGCAAATTCTTTGAAGAAGGTATCTTTGTTAGAGCCAAAGAATCATCCCGTCAAGGTCCGGATCGGTTCAAACTTCAAGGAATCTATCAGTAAGTAAATAGCAGGTGGCCCCTTCTGGTCTGTAGCTAAGTAACCCTGCCTACGGAGCATACATGTAATGTATAATCTGTTACTTCACAGAATGGGGAGCAACAGACCCCAGTATACGGCCAGAACACCTCTCTCTGCTAAACACAGCAGTTTCAACAATCAAAAAGGAGAAAACTGGATCCGAAAGAGCTTAAATCGTGAAACATTAACAGAATATGAAAACTTGCCTAATGTCAAGAAATCAAGTGACAACATTATTAATAACCATGCTACTTATCAAAATATGCCACCAATTAAACAGCGGCTGTTTATAAACTCAGAAACTGATAAACCTAATAATGTGCCCCATGTTCCAAGTTCAGTGAAGCTTCAAAGTGAAGGTTCTCAGAAGAGGGTTGCACAACACCCAATTCAGTTTCTAAAGCAATATTCCCAGCTACAAGATCAGAGGGAAATTCGACCACAAACTCAGCCATACACGCCTCCAGAAACTGATGACATTTGGAGAAAAGTTTTCATTGGAAGGTTTGTACTTATCATGGTTTCTAACTTCTGCACCATTTCAAGCATATCTTATTTCTGTGATTTTGTTTAGGTTGCAGGCTCTTCTCAAAGATGTAGATGTATCAGGGCTGTTTTGGCCATGTGCTGTAATACGCTGTCAGTGGCTGGAGCAGAATTGTTGTATTCTAGATGACTCGTCTCTTGCCAAATTGCCTCCCTGGGTAACAGCTGCTTCTAGTAGGCTCATGTTAGGTTTGTGTTTTGCACCAAAATCCTGAATTTTAATTGTATCATTCACTTCCTAGAATAATTTACTTATCTTCCTTTTTATCATTTTTCAGCCCTTGCAGACAAGAGCCTGAACCGAAGTGTTGTAAATTCTGATATAGAAGCTGATGTAAGTGCCATCGAAGCATTTTTCTCTAATTTGCCAACTCCTTTAATTCCAGCTGACTTAAGTGCTATATTTCAAAGAGTATTTTTGCATCTGGAGTTATCTGTAAGTACTGTTAATTTTCTAAACTAAATAATTGTATTGCATTTTCACATTATGCAAAACTGGTAAATTGTGTTGTGTCTAGGCTTCATCATTTCAGGAAGAGGATGCCTTGTCCCACCATTCACTCTCTACTTTATCGAAGAGGTGAGTAAAATTTCCTTTCTGTGAAAACAATATGCTTTCTTTTGTTTCAGATTGGTTGTGTGTAATTATTTGTTCTTCAATTCATTTCTTTTTTCTTTTAGCCGGGCAAGCAGCTCAAGCAAGTTATCTGATGATTTCAAGTGTACTCTACCCCCTAATACATGTTATGAAACTGCTTTCACTTCCGAAAGTCCAATCACTAGAATTGTTCCGCAATCATCATTTGACACCCTCCATTTGCCTACTCGCCCTGCATCTGCCTGCTCTCCAATGAAACGAAATGCAAGTGCTCCCAAGCTTCTTGAAACTTGCCTTGGAGCTGACTTGCCCTACAATCAATCTACTTATAAAAGATCAATTTCCTCATCAAATAATAGCAAGTTTTCAACCATTGATAGTAGGTGTCGGCTCCCCAAATCTCAATCCAAAAGTGATTTGACTGGTAGATCTATGATTGGTAAAGCATATAAATCTTCAGCTTTATCTGATACTGAGGAATCAAGAATCAAGCACAGCTGTGGAAAGCTTACTGTAATGGATAAAACTCCTCCTCTGCCACCAAGACATGTGATCAAACCCCCACCTATTCACCGGAATACTTCAAAGAATGTCAAAGTATTGATTATTTTTGTTTTTATGTTCATAGTTGATTTCCTTGAAATGTAAATTTTAAGCCAAGCTGACTACTTTATCTACGTATTCACAGACAAAGCACAGTCGCAGTAACTCAGGTGGCTACATCAACCTCGCCATGCAAGATTCTTTCGAGGGCGCAGATTATGATCACAAAGAGCTTGACATTGAAGCAGCAATGGAGACGTTACAGAAGTTAATGATCTGCAGTCAAAAGCCCTCTCAACACTCTCCTCGTAAAGGTATTGCTCATTTCCTTGTTCTATGAGTCATGGTCATGAAATGATTGTGTATTTTAGTTTTGGGACTGATGTAAGTTACTTCTTCTGCTTTATTGACAGAGGGTGCAAAAAGTATGCACTATAGATCTGCAAGCCTCTCTAATGCTCAAACCAATGGAACAACTAATGCAGTGGGAATGCGCAGAAGCCAATCCTGTTGGTCACAGGATATGAGCAATGTCAGCTTATCATCATACCACACAGCCATATCATCAACTTCATCTTTAGATAGCACAAGCTCTGGCTCCAATACCTCTTTAAACTTGACTGCTGGCTGTGAATGGGGCTGGGATTGGGGATCTGGTGCTGAACAAACAGGAGTGGCTGTTTTCAGATTGCTAATGCTTCTTGTCAAGCCTCAAAGTCGAGCTCAACTGCAACTTTTGCTAAAGCTAATGGGCCTGTTGCCATATCAGTGCCCTTACACTACCTTAAAAGTAAGTAACACAAGACCCTTCATTTCTATCATGGCTGTACCTTTAAATTCTGTTACTGTTATAATGCTATGTTGTAGGTCTTAGACATGTTTACATCTTTCATCATTCAAGGAGGAGATGAGGATGTTACATCTCGCCTCTTGGGATTTTTAGTGAGACACCAGAAAGAAATTTTCAATTCCCCACAAGAACTTGTATCAGAGGTGCAACGAGAGAGGAAAGCAAAAATAAAACAGAAGGTAAGACAACTGCTATTTTTAGATCTGTTAGTTCATAAATTACAGTATTTTGTTTCCTATTGCTCTAGAGTCTTTTATATCTACCCTTACTTCTTGCGTTCTTGCAAATAAAATAAAAAAAAATATTGCTCAACATTGTGGTGTCAAGTCTCAAAACTTACCTTCTAGAGGTGACTCAAATTTCAATCCAAATTTCTTACGCATGATGAATTCAATTTAGTTAGTAGCTTAAGGTAAAAACATAGAGGCTTTCTTTCATTCAATTTTTATCTATCTTTGTTTTGACTAGATACAAAAATAGGTTTTATCTCCTAACTTTTTTTCTCTTAAATCTTGGTAGCTATTTGCTCTTGATTTAGTTTTCTCATCAGTTCTTCTTAAAGTTGAATTTGCTTATTTTTTTATTATAGATCATTTATTGTATTGTTCTTGGTGTTGGTAGCACTGTAGTTGTAGCATGGTGTGTGGGCGTGTGTTTGTGTCCCTCAGGAGAGGGGTGCCGTCACATTCTGTGAGCGCGTGTCTCTTCTACAGTTTGAAGAACAGAAGCTGACAACTTCGCAGAAGGCCCTGGCTGAACTTTTGGACCAAATCGTTGCCGATCAGAAGCTGAACACAAAGGAAAAAAACAAAAAATTAAAAATGGTTAGTATAAATCTTAAATATTGTAGTGTTTGTGCTGTCTTATATCTGTAATTACTATTTGCTTTTATCTTTTTCTTTTTAGTTCAAGGAGTCTTACCCTCACATATACTCAATGAGATTCCCTCAACCTGAAATGGTGACCTTTAAGAGACGCAACAAGTCTATTCTTCAACTTGCTCGTTTACGTAGTTTGCGAGTGTAATAGTTATTTATTTTAGACTAAATTAAAAGGAAACTCTGTTGTAATACACACACAAAAATAATCGCAAATTACTTGTTTTAAATGTATTGTTTACTCTATTATATAAGTGATGTTTCAAAGACAAATTTGAAAATTTCCTTATGGTGCTCTAGAAATGTACAAACTGAGTGTAATCTGAATGGGCTGTATACATTGGCATTCCTTTTGAGGACTACTTAATAAATTATCCTCAAGTGATTTATAACTTTTTCAATTGGCATTGTAATGGTATGATAGCTGTTATTGATTGAAAGTTTTATGCTTATTTTTATATATTCTGCATCAACTGATGCTGCTGATGAGGTGATAAAAGTCTGAGTGATTGCTAGTATATATTATTGTCTCATTCCATCTATATGTGTATGTGCCTGCTAAAATTAATGCCTTGTTGTGAGAAAAGTATTATTTTTTGTATTAGAGAATGTTTTATGATAGCTTTAAAACCTGTTACACATATTGTCTATGATGAATATTGTTGGTTTGTCAAATCTTTTTAACTTCCCATGTAATTAAAATGACTCACTAATACTACACGTGTTCCCTTTTAATTCGAGAGCCTCTAATAATTTGCCCAGGTTCAAGTTTAAAGCTGCTAGCACTAGCAGAGTGGGCGAGTCATGAGCTATCCAGAGAGCTCCTGTCCGTCTTGAAGCAACAGCCTCGTCACCGACTAGGCGAGGCGGACCGGGCCGCGGAGCTTTGTGTCCATACTGCAAGGGTTGCGTAGGAGCAGAATAACTGGCGAACCAGTCGAACAGCGCGCTGACTGTGCTCCGGTTAGGGCGGGCTGCCTAGGCTCTCGGCGGAGCGGT